TCTCTCTCTCTCTCTCTCTCTCTCTCTCTCTCTCTCTCTCTCTCTCTCTCTCTCTCTCTCTCTGTGTGTGTGTGTGTGTGTGTGTGTCTGTGTGTGTGTGTGTGTGTGTGTGTGTGTGGCAGTTCTGCCACGTTGATCTATCGGACGATCGAGAGAGACAACATCAAAACGAAAGAAACAGAACATCTACCGAAACGAAACAAAAACGGACGAGGGGTATCTCACCTTCCGTCATGGTGGCGCGATCGCCTGAATGCCTCCATGCAATGCACAACCCAAGCCTCAGCGTCCAACCTTCAAGACGCAGAGCCCCACCTCCAGCCCGTGAAGGAGCTTAGAGACAGCACATCCTCTCGAGCTTCACCCCGAAATCTAGTGTGTGTGTTCGGCTGTGTGTGTGTGTGTGTGTGTGTGTGTTGTGGGTGGATGTGTTTGTGTGTGTGTGTCCATCATCGCATAGAGTAGAACACAGTCTACCATAGCATTTCTGTGTGTGTGAGCGTCCTGGGTGTGTTCGCAGCCAGAGGCTGCGCTTACCATGACTGTTCTTTTGTCGTTTTCTGTAGTTGCTTTTTTGGGAAATGTGGTGGACGTCAAATGAGGTTTGGCGGGGACTTTTCGGGGTTTAGGGAAAAGTGCAAAGGGTGCGGTCCCCGCTAGGAGACGGACCGGTAGTGCAGTGCGAGTGGTCGTGCTAGGCTTTGGGTAGTGTACGTCCAGTGGTCGTGTCATTCGGTCGTTGGGCTTTTGTTGCTGTGTCATTCGGTCGTTGGGCTTTTGTTGCTGTCCGCGACCCGTTTCCTTTTTGGGTGGAGGGTTGATCTTCTCTTGGGCTGTTCTTGGGGGCTGTTCGGGGGTTATCTTGACTGTTCTTTTTGTCGTTTTCTGTCTTTGCTTGTTGTCGATTGAGGTTTGGGGGGGTCTTTTTGATGAATGATGAATCTTTTCGGGACGTTCGGGGATGGGTGGATGGGTGGAAAAAAATGGAGAGGGGGGGGTGATCAAAATCGACGACTCAATCTTTCGACTTGAAACGAAACTATGTGATGTGGCGGTTCGTTTTCTTGGGTTTTCTTTATTAAGGGTGTAGCCAGATACATCTATGTCTGGCTGCAATTACAATCAGATACATTCGTGTTCGCAGCCAGAGGCTGTGCTTCGATAATCCAGGACCGGAGGGTCTTGTCTCGACGACTTCAAACGTCGGTCGATGATACGACTCCATGTCTGGCCGAAATTCTGGCCGCAATTACAGTCAGATACATCAGATACATTCTGGCCGCAATTACAATCAGATACATTTGTGTTCGCAGCCAGAGGCTGTGCTTCGATAATCCAGGACGGGAGGGTCTTGTCTCGACGACTTCAAACGTCCGTCGATGATACGACTCCATGTCTGGGCGGAATTCTGGCCGCAATTACTGTCAAATACATCAGATACATTCGGAAGAGTGATATTGATATAGTGTGTGAGTGCGTCCTGAGGTACCTTTTTCCCCCGAATGTGAAGTGCCACAGGATTTCATT